CAGGGACCCCAGCACTTAGAGCGTGCGGGGCAGACGCTAAGCCAGAGGCGGAGGGAGCACGGGAAGAGGCCCAAGGAGGGAGGGTCCCTGCCACCTTGATAAAGCAGGATCGAGGCTCAGATTCCCCAGCCCTGCACTGGGCAATGGGAAGATGCTTCCTCCCGCACCTCCCGCAGGACAGAGGAGTGAGCCACACACCGCTCCCCTACTGCAAAGGGTCCGTGAGGGACAGGAGGACATCTTATTCGGCACGGACCCCAATACAGGGCTTGAACTCACCACCCTGAGATCAAGACCTGAGCTGAGATCAGGTGTCAGACGCCTAACCGACTGAGCCACCCAGGTGCCCTGAAGAGTTCTTAATTTCTAGGAGGTTCAAGTTTTTATGATGACAGGAGATGGGACAATTTCCATAATGGACTGAGGCTGATGTGTGACTTAAAGTGGCCCTAGGGCTTGCCTAACCCAAGAGTGATAAGAAACATCACGAGGTCTACCGGGGTTTCCATCAGGGCAGGAGAAGGCTCACGGCACTGAGAAGGAGGAAACCGAGACAGCGGGGTTTGATCATTACACCCAGGAGTTCTGCTCACTCGGCGCCCCGGGGTGCACGCTCAGTCTCTCCCATTCCTAAAAACACATCACCTGATCTCTCCTTACCCTCCTCCGCAGCTTCCACCCTCCCCGCTCCGAGTCCAGGCTGCCCCAAACACCTCATTTGCTTTCCCCACGTCTTCATGCTCCATCCGTCCCTCCGCACACTGCCAGCCGGCTTTGGACCCGAACGCTCCCTTAAAACGGTTTCAGCAAGGCCACGAGGGGCTGATCCCTTAAACCCAGTGGTGCTCCAGGTCTTCCCGTTATTAAATCTCTTACTCCCCGATTGTCCTCATACATCTCCGATCATTCACCAAGACTTGTCAGTGTCCCTTACGAAGGCTCCCTCCACCCCAGAAATATTCGGGCTCTCCTTGTCTTTCTCTAAAGGACCTCTGGGCACTGTCACTCTCTAATTGCTAGGACGGATGGCTCTTTAGAGCCTCAAATGTCACTCACCCTTTCGGTCATTCACTAAAGATTCTCAGCAGACGACTAAGTGCCGGGTAGTAGGTGAGCACGGGGTCCACAGTGGTGACCCAGCCATACTCCTGGCTTCATAGGTCTGCGGTCTGGTGGGCGATAAAGACGGTAGAGAGAGGCTCCCTGACTGGGAGAGGCAAGTAGGAACGCAGCACTGGTTCGTAACAGGAGCCCTGTGAATCATTCGGGCCTCACGAACTTTATGAAATTATATGAAAACTTCTGTCCAAAAGGACAAGTTCAGGGTCGATACGATCTATGCCTTTCATTAGCTTAGACAAGAGGTCCTTGACTCAGAAACATTACCGATGTGACCCTGGACATGGTGTCACTCTGGAGAAAAATCAGGGCTTAAACAAAGCCGTGAGACCCTGCTCTGCGAGGCGAGAGCTGGGCCGCGGCCCTCAGTCCTTCCCTGAAGAGTCCCAGCAGCAGAGGACGGTGACACACAGTGGAGGCCACGGGGACCTCGTGCGTCTTAATTCAAGCTCCGGAAAGCCTAACTGTGCTTCTCCCGCGGCTCTGAGTAACCCTTCCCCAAGCGCCCCAGTCGCACCGTCACGCCACACAGTGCAGGTGCCCAGGCTCCCGGTGTGAGAAGCAGGGATACGGCTGTCCTGGGAATGACACACGTCTCATGCACAGCTTCGAAAAAGAGGGATTTGGGGGCCAATATTTAGAAGTCAGGAGACTTCATGGAATGATCTGGATTTGTGTGTTCTCTTCAAAGTCTGAGGACCCAGCAAAGGCCAGCCCTGGGTCCCCGCCCCCACGCTAGCACAGTCCCCTGGGGCTGGGAGCAGCTGCCTTCTTGTGGGGGGGGGCAATGCATTCTTCAGCCCCCACGCCCCACCCCCATACCCAGACTCTGCTCTCCTTCACGGCACCGGGCCACTCTCCGTTCTAGTGGCTCTGGCGGAGACAAAGAAGGGCAGAGAAAAAATGGAAAACCGTGGAAATAAACCATTTACCAGGCAGGAGAAAAAGTACCTAGAGATGAAAAAAAGGGAAAGAAGTAAAACAGAAAAGGCACACATTTTCCTCTTTTTTAAGGATATAAATTTTCTTAATGCAAAATCTCCTATATTATGTTGTCACCTGGGAAGACTCAGCGTCTACGGCCTCATCCGGCCGAGGGCCATGCGGATTGTGAAATGCTCTCCCCACCCCATCCTTCCCCAAAATAAAACCATTGCTATTGAAGCATTAGGATCACCGTGGGGGAGTAGAAACGACCACGTCCTCATTCAAGAAATCCTAGTGTATCTGCACGGTACCATCAGAAGGGCCATAAACCTCTGTCCTACAATTAAAGAGCTCCATCCACCATTAACAAATTACGCATTTCGTCAGTTATGATACATTAAGAAGAGATCGCTGGTATTTGATTCTGTTTTGTACATCAGAGATACATGTGATATTAATGACTCATGATCACAACTCTGTTTTCTTGAGTCTTTTTAGAGCGCGTATTAATCATCTGCTAATGTTACCGTAACTCATAAAATACAAGCCACATTTTCGCATGGTGCCTTTCATATGTAGGAATAGTGGTTTTCTGGGTACCTGACAGCACGGCACTGCTCCCACTGCTTTGCCTCTGGGGCTAACACCGCGTCCCAGCCCCGTTCCCGTATCCGTGGCGGCGGCGGTCAGGGAGGAAGTACTGTCTGCTCAGCCCAGCAGGGCTGAGTTCATCCATGTTGTGCTGCACCCGACCCCACAACGCTTTCCATCTTGCAAAACCGAAACTCTGCACTGTCAGATAACACACCCCACGCCTCTCTTCTCCCAGCACCTGACGACGGCCAATCCTCCATCTCCGTAAATCTGGCCATGCTAGGTACCTCATGTGAGTGGAGCCATACAGGATTTGGCTTTGGTAACTGCTTTATTTCATTTAATGTGACATCCCCAAGGTTCACCCATGCTGTAGCTTATGTGGGAACCTCCTACCTTTTTTAGGGCTGAATGATATTCCATTGCATGTACACCCCACGTTTTATCCTCCATCCTCTGTCGGCGGACGCCTGGGTCACCTGCACCCTCCAGCTGTTGTGAATTAATGCTGCCAGGAACGCGGGTGTGCAACCATCTCTCTGAGAGCCTGCTTTCAACTCTTTTGGGAACATACCCAGATGTGACACTGCTGGATCACACAGTAATTCTATTTTTTAGAAATTCTTGAGGAACTTTCGTACCATTTTTCTACGGCAGCTGCATGATTTGGTATTTCTACAAGCAGTGCTCAAGGATTCCGATTTCTCCATCCTTGCCAACACTTGTTCCTCTCTGCTTGTTTGCTTGTGGGACAGTACCTCCCTAATGGATGTGAGGGGGCAGCCCACCCATTAAATGCAAATTCCCCAAAGGTTGTGCTTTGCTCCCAGGTGACACCTTACTGATGAGTGTACGTAAGTATTTGCAAGGAGCCAGGAGTGTGGCCCTACAGCAGGGCACTGAACATCGAGACTGGGATGGAAACTGAGTCACAGGACCTCTCTGGTGCAGGAAGTTATAGGCCCAAAACATCGCCTTCCTTGTCACACAGATCCTCCCAGGGCAGCCCTACTCTAAAGCGATTAGGTCCTCAGCTCTCAGTTTGGGCAGGAAAATAAGAGAACATGAGGCATCTTTGTTATTTAAAATGTGACAACTATGAACTTCAGAACTACCTGTCGGAAGTCCTCATCCTACCCCACAACCCCTTCTTGCCACCCTCCTTTAGATCAACAGACACTGCCCGAAAACCAGGCCAAGGTAGGAAAGCATCTCCCGCCTCTCCTAACTGAAGACAGAACCCTGAAGGTCTGAAGGCACGTGGGCCCTTCAGCAAAAGTCACAGAAGTACCGAATGACGCAGGTCTCATCTTGGTTACAAACAGCCTCTGTGGCGAGCTGAACAACGCCTCCTCCCCTCCAAAAAATCCACATCCTAATCTCCAGAACCTGTAAATGTTACCTTACGTGGGAAAAAGGACTTCGTAGATGAGGTTTTTTTGTGGGCTAGAGAATTACCTTCGCTTATGCACAGGGACCGTCACAAGGGCGCATCGCACGGGAGGCAAGAACATCAGAGGGAGCAGAAGGGCGTGTGGTGAAGGAACAGGAGGAAGGAGGAAATGATGGAGCCACAAACCCAGGAACGAGGACTTCCAGAAGTTGGAAAAGGCATGGAAATGGATTCTCCCCTCCAGCCTCCAGGAGAAACCCCTCCGCTGAGCACACCTTGCACTTAGCTCCGGAAAGCTCGCTCCGCACCTCTGACCTCCAGAATGAAGCGAGTACGTCTGTGTGGTTTCCGGCCACCACGCCGGTAGTGATTTGTCACAGCAGCCTGGGAGTACAGCGTCAACGTCAACCCACTTTACTCAACACCCTTTACGTGAGAGCTTCCCGGCTGGCGCGCTCTGGGGTACCGGCCCCCCTCATCTCCGTGGGCAGCAGGGTGGGACGTGGGCACGAGTCAGACAGAGCTGCACAAAGGCCCTCCAGGTGCCCTCCGGGGTCACAAAAATATGGTTTTTTCCATGTTCCCGTATCACAAAAAGGGGAGGGAGGGTTGCAGGTATGAAAGAGCCACGGGAATGAGCGCACTGCAAACGTCACAGGCCAAGCTCCTGAACACAGACCATCAGACAGGAGGATGGGTGAAAGGCGGCGGACATTCCCGTCATTTCGATCTTTCCGTATCACCGCTTGATAAGCTGCACCTGAAACCTTTAGCTAAAGACAAAGGCAAAATGGTGTGTCTTCCTCAGCAAGAAAGCCCTGACAGTAAGACACCGTCAAGTCCCAAAGTGGCTTCTGCCCACTGCTGGCCGCCCCGGGCGGCCCCTCCTACACTCCCTCCCTCCCTCCGGGTTCCCGCGTCCCCGGGATCTGGGGGCGCAACAGCCTCTGGAGCCGGCCGCACCGACCTGATGGGGAGAGACGGGTCCCCGGCGTCCCACCAGTCTTTCGGGGGGCTGATGTACATGCACCACAGCTCCCAGCTGTAGCCGTGGGCCGAGTTCTCGTACCGCTGCACCTCAAACGTGTCCTGTTTGATGTTGTCGATGGACGGGAGGATCACTCGCTTCCGGTTCTCCTGGATTCGGGACAGAACCGGCTCGGCCCTGAAACACAGGGAAGGAGAAGTAAAATCTCGCTCCTGCGGCACACCCCCCCCACACACACTGGCACGGACCCCCACCCCACGTGGAATGCACAGAAGTGATCTATAGCGAAGGTGGCAGCCCTGGGCGGGCTGGGGCTCAGGTGGAAACTGAGGTGTATGAGCAACCTGCCCGGGAGTGGACCGTGCCCTTGGGAGCGTGCTCTGGAAGGCGGTGCAGTGTGGCCACGCCCTGGCCCCTGGGGTGTCATACGGTGCTGTCACCTGGGCCCGAGAGACCCGGAGCAAGAATTCAGAACGTGGGGGCCTCTCCCCACGAATGCCCCAGGCCTGTGTGTTGTGCTGACAGCACAGGCCGAGGCAAGCCCGCCGGACTCCACGTGGTTCACCGAGCACACCACACTCGGGCTTCCCAGTTCTGCCATTTCCCCTCCGGCACTGGTTGACGTCTCTTGTTTCTTCTGCAGGAGCTGAATTGTCTCTCCCAAAATGGGTCACTTCTGCCCTTGATGGCCTGGTTTTAATAAGCATCTCACTAGCTTCTTGGTGTGTGTGACTGTTTCAGTTGTTTTAATTGATTATTTAATTGATTTCTTAAAAGGGATCTAATTGAATTGGTTAGCAGTGGCAGGAGAGAACTAATTAAATGCAAAGGCAGGCAGAGTCCTGCCTCCCAGCCAGCCCAGCCCCTCAGGGCTGCAGCAGGAGACGGGCAGGGACCTGGCTCGGGGTTCAAGGTGCAGCCCTGCCCACTCAGGAGAAAGCAGATGGTCAGGCTCCCCCACCAGTGTGTGTCTCCCAGGCAGACGTAGGCAAAGACAGGTTCCCAGATCTGAGAAGGCAAAGATAGCTCTCGCAAGCCAGGGCATTGATCTCCCTGCTTAGAACAGCGCTCCCGCTTTGGAAAAGAGTCAAGTGAAAATACCGTTCCTCTGCATTATTTGGAAGAATAATGAGAAGGCTCGGCCTGCCTCCCATCTCTTTTCATTTCCAGCTATGGAATTACCTGTTGGCTCATCTCATCTTTCTATTTAAAACGAGCAATAAAACATACCCTGGGCCATTTACTGCCTCCAGGGCTTTTGCACGCACCATACAGACTGAAGCCAAGTGGGACTGACTCGCCAGGGCTTCGAGACACGCTTCAGAGCTTCACCCCTCCAAGCATCTGCTCCTGCGGTTCTCCTCCCGGGAGGAACGCCCTTGGCCACTGGCAGGAAGTCCAGTTACCTATGGAGTCTTACCAGATCAAGTGCCACCTCTCCGAGGAAGCCTTCCGTGATTTCTCCTGGTAGGAAGGCTCTGTCCTTCCTCTCAGCTCTTGGACCATCTTCTCCATCTCATCAGGTCACCCTGACTATACCTTGCCTTTGCTACTGTTAGAACACACACTGTTTTCCGCACGAGCTAATGGCAGCGGATACATACGGGCCACTTACCACACGCCAGGCACCATTCTAAGCACCCCCCAGGAGCCAGGGAGACTCATGTAAACCCCACAAAGGTTCCAGGAGGTAGACAGTACGATCAGCATCGGACAAGTGAGGTTACGTGGCTTGCCCCGGGCCACACGGCCAGCCGGCTGCAGAGCCGGGGTTTCTGACCTGGATGGCCTGGCTTCGTGCCCTGCCCATAAGCTCCACCGTGTCCTTGACGGGACCAGGCTCCCCCGGCCGGTCTAGCGGCTGCAGAGAAGCGATCCGTCCCCTGCCACTGTGCTGAGCTTCTGAGCTCGGGAGCAGGAAAGCTTTGTTCCACCAACACTTCTGATGCTGCGGGGTGACCTCCCAGTGTGCAGGGAAAGGTACACCTGCTCCCAGTTACTCACAGCCCACCCCGGGGACACCCCACCTTCCACTGGGCGGCTGGCCGTGCTTCCCGCAGTGCGGCGCACTCCCTCCCGCAGCCCGTCATCTGGGACCTGCTCTGGACAACAGGGTCTGAGCAGAAGAGACGATGTCACATCCAAGCAGAAACCCGCAGAACCACGACAACGGGGCGTCCTCGGCAGAGCTCTGCTTCCCGTCGCTTCAGACTGAGAGACCGGACTCGCGTCTCCCATTTTGATACTGAGCTGTTTGTCACTTTCAAATGGTCTGCGTCCTGCCATCCGCCGGCGTCTTCAGGGGAAGATCCGAGCTGGGACGCAGGCTCCGAGCCCCAGGGACTCGCTGACCGCCTCTGGGGGACCCGCCGCGCTCACTCGCTCACCTACCTCGCTGACACTGACTGGTCTGGCTGAGAAACACCCACCACCTAATCGCGTTCTTAGGTAACAGCATGACTCTCTCACGTTCCCCAGACCCACAGCCCGTAGCTAACACGCCTGGATTTGAAACACAGGGAGAACCGTAGCCCATCGAGGCCGCGAATAGGACTTCATCGAATCAATAAGTGAAAACAGCCTCACTTTAGCAATGATCAGATGGCTCATCTACAGACTGGTTTTTGTTTTCTTTTTTTTTTTTTTAATTTGGGTTTTATCGAAGTGGCTGTCTTCATACTGTTTATTAGCCCATGACCAGGGTAGACTTACGCGGTCCGACCCCCACCCCCCGAGCAATTCCTGTTTCATACAACACGGTTAACAGCTTAAGGCATTTTACTACAAGTGTCCACGAGTCCTGAATCGAATCTCTGCTCCCTTCACAATCAAGTACATTGGCATATAAAATACAATGCATCATGACTCCTTTCCCACATGGTCTCTTATAGCCGGATTTCCATTTTATGTACATGGGACGACAGCCTAAAGGCTGTTAAATGTCAGTGCTCCCTTCCAGGAAGGGAGAACAAATTCTGATTCTTTAAACAAAAAGGACAGAGTCTCAGAAGGACTTTACTAAGTGACCACGTGTGTAACCTGTACGAAGTTAAGCTGTTTTTAAGCTACAGACTCCAAGCAACTGAACTCAAATGTCCTGGTTTCTCTGTACTACATTTCGGCTAATAATTGCAAAACTAACACCAATTTTAAAAGTTGCTATGACCAGTTCCGTTGACTTTAGCAAGGTACTTTAAGTTACAGGAAAAAAAAAACAAAGTCCTTGAGGTCTCAGAACGCAGAAGACATGTGCAGAAGAGCTCCAGACGCAGAAGCAGTAGCTGACCGGCCCCCAGATAAAATGAAAATCTTTGTCGTCAGAAATCACTGAGGTTGGAAATTATGAGTGCAGCATAACCCAGTGAAAGTTGAGACACAGTGTCTACCTTGTAATGAGGAACCACCAGGGCCTACAGGTCACTCCAATTGACATGTGGAAACTGAGTGTGATGGGCTAAGGCTGGCACAGAGACCAGGTAGACCACGGGCTACTTGAGGGCAAAGAGCAAGTCCTGCCAGATTCTGAACCCCATCTGAGTGACCAACTGTCCCAGCTTGCCTAGGACTGTTGTGGTTCTACTGCCGAAAGTCCTGCATTTGGGGAAATCCCTCAGCACCAGGCAGCCCTGAAGAGCTGGTCACCCCACCCCTGGCCCAGGACAGCGTCTGGGACCTTGGTAGGTGTCCAGGAAATATTTGTCGAAAGGATGACTCAGGCAGACACTGTGCAAGTTTAGGTACAAGGTGTGAGGTGGGGGAGTGGGGTCAAGGCCAAGGGGAAAGGGCAGACGTTCGAAACAGAAGGGAAAACCAGCCAGAGCTAGAGGTTGACGAGAGCCAGAGGCTGACTGGATGAGTGACATGACGGGGACGGAAGAATCAGGTGAAGAGAGACGCGGGTGGAGCCACCAGTTTGACAGAAAAGAAACAGGGAGGCAAGGATGTGGCAAGAAAGGCCAAAGTTCCAATGGAACATCTGAGTTCATCTGCTGGGGTGGCTTCCAGCTCAACGGTTCTCAAATCTGAGTGCCTATCATTGTCACCTGGAGGGCTGCTTAAAATAGGTCGCTGGACCCACCCCTAGAGCTTCTGATTTCAGAGGCCTTGGGGGAGCCCAAGGACCTGCTTCTCGAACAAGTTCCCAGATGCTGCTGCTGGTCTGGGGACCACAATTCGAGAACCATTTGTGAGATACAAACAACTCCGAAGCTTGGGGGAGGTCAGGGCGGCAAGCATACCATGTGTCACCAGGTCTGAGCGCAGCAGAAACACCAGGAAAGGAAACTAGTGTCTGAGATGACACCAGCTACCTATGTCCACCTGGAAGAGCCAGGGTCAGCCCTGACCCCGTTTCCAGTCTTCATGGGCTCGCACGGGTAGCCATTCTCTGATCCAGCCATTAAAGAGATTCTAAAGTGTGTTGCAAATGAAGGAGAAGAAATGATTTAATGTGTCAATGGTGATGGGATGGTGGCTCTTCCAATCTGGTACTGTGAACAACATGTATTCAAGATGGTGCCAGTGAGTTGACACATGTTACAAACATGATTTGTGAGATGAAAACTCTGCTTCTCAGTAATTCAACAAACCAAGCACAGGTTATTTAACCTCTAAGCTGCTCTGTCGCTGGTGGTCAGTCAGCAGCAATCACATGACGGCTCTTCTCAGCTGGGAAGTCCTAACCCACTGTCAGCGCTCACTGAGGGATCCGGGCATTTTGATGCTTTGCTAGTCTTGCTTCCCAAGCCGCCTCCTCTCCCTGTGGCTCCCTGCCCCCCATTTCTCCCAGGTCGATCTTTTCACCACCTGGGAAAACCCTGGGGGCCACATCTGTAGAGATGAACCCTCCCCTTCCTACAAATGATGTCACAGATAATCCCATGGGGTCCAGGAGGCTTTCCCTGAGTAGGCAGCATTATAAATGGATCTTTCCTCCAAACAGCCCTCAACCATCCTCAGACAAGGGAACACGCAAGTGGGAGAAGAGAACAATTATGGCTGTCTTGTCTCCTTAGCAAGGATAATCTTGAGTTCTGGCAATTAACTATCATTTTTGCGGAGAATTTGGATGATGGTGGGGATGGTGATAACCACAACAATGAAGAACAGAGTAGACAGCAAATGTCCCTGCTTCTCCGTTTTGCCCCAGACTAACAACCAGTCCTTCTCCATTGTTCTGGCAGCCCCAGAGGAAACAGGCAAGGTTCCACCTCCCAGATTCTAATTCCTCCTGACCACATTCCTGTGGGTGCTCAGTGCCCCTGGGGTCCAGCTTGTGACCTACCAGCCAGCGGTGAACTCCACGTGGGCATCAAAGAAGCCAGTGACCTGGCCCGTGGCCACCTTCCAGCCCTCGATGCGAGCTCGGATCAGGCCCTCTCTCTTCTGGTTGCGCACCACCTTCACCAGCCCAGGGTAGCGCTTGTGGACGTACTCCTCCAGGGGGGCCTTCAGCTCCTCTGCAAAGGATAAAATGCAAGAAGGTCCATGAACACGTCATGTCACCTGTGCGTCTGACCCACTGCGATGCCAACGGATCCTCAGGGAGTTCGAGAGGCAGAGACGTTGACATGGTAGTAATATTAGTACAGGAGACAACTGGCTCAGCATGAGCATCAGAAGACATTGCTGACACGCCAACCTAGAACAGCAGTGTTTGTCCCACATCCAAGCTATACAGCTGGACAGAATCCACATCTGGCTTTAACGTTCGACCACTCCAGGCCAGCAGATGTCTTCTGAGGTTGCTTCTCTTTGTGGCCTTTCCTCCTTTCTAGGCCAGCATTTCTGCCCTCCCACCGTCCCCTGGGTCCTGTTATTCAACTTCTAAACACGTTTTCCCATCAGCGCATACACTGGTTCTTAGAGTACGTGTCCTGGGTGGTCCAGACCCATAGTCACGCACCAGATGCACAGCTAACAAGATTGCTGCTGTGGTCTCAGTTTAACAAAGGAATCTGCCTAGTAGCAGAAGTGCTGCCCTACCAGAGATCCAGCAGCCTCCCTTCTGCAACAAGCAGGTGGTATACAGTGTGTTATGTATATGATCCAATTTAATCCTTACAGCAACTAGGAGGGAACTAGATTGATTCCATTAATTACCTGGATTCATCCCACTTTGCAAATGAAGAAACAGTCTTGGGGTAGCTAACCTGTCCTGAGGTCACACACTGAGTAATGGAAGGGCTAAAACACACACCAAATGTGTCTAACCCATAGACAGGACAGCTGACCCCTTTCTGTACATGAGAATCGCCAGATGGAGGGGGAGGGGAGGGTCTCCCAGGGAGGGGACTCAGAGATCTGCACACCGCAAGGATCCAGCCTTGGAGTGGATGCTACGGATCACTCGTGGGCTGGGGAGCATATAAGCAGGCCACAAACCATCCTTTAAGAGACACTCTTACCTCTGACGTCATTCGAGAGAAACCCAAAGAGGCTGTATTTACAGATGTCATGTAGAACCCTCACTTCCTGGTTATACACAGCAACTTTGGGGAATTAAAGCCACAGATTTGAGCTTAGGTAGAGGCTGAGCTCTCTAGGTCACGGGTGTCGTCCCAGGGAATGATGCTGCCATGGGACCCGGGAAGAATTGCAGAGGCTGGGGTGTGTAGCTGGTGGGAGGGGAGAGTCTCCACGGCACGGAGACATGGAATGCCCACATGGTGAGGGAATGGGAACCTGATGGGCCGCTCTGTGCACTCCCCAGGATCTATCTGCCGAAGCCCTACCCACCCCAGGTCCTCAGGATGCGATCTTATCTGCAGAGACTGACTTGAAGGAGGTGATTAATTTGTTAGTGTGGCCCGAATCCAGCATGACTGGTGTTCTTCTAAGAAGAGATTCGGAGCCACCGGGGGCTACCCATGAAGAGAAGGTGGTTCTCTGCAGGCTGCGGGGTGGGGACGGGACTCAGGAGACACCGACCCTGCCCACACCTTGGTCTTGGACATCCAGCCTCCGGAACTGCTGGTTAAGCCGCCCAGTCTATGGTCCTTGGTTATGGCAGCCCAAGCAAATGAACACTGGGAGGGGGGTATTTGTTTGGAAAGGGGAAAAAGCGGGAATCTGGGTGGGGCAGGGGCATGACCCTCTAACAAGGAGTAGCATGTGCTTGGGTTTTTCAACATTGGAGTCGGGCCGCCTGGGATTCAGAACCCAGAGCTGCCACCGATCTCCTGAGTGGCCCTGAGATCTTTAGCCAATCAGTTCAGGCCTCAATTTCCTCCTCTGCAGAAGGGGACGATCATCACAGCATGGGCCCTGTAGCGGTGTGGTGGGGACGGGATGAGTCCCTGTGAGGGAATGCCGAGGACGGTCGCTGTCACAGTGTGAATGCTCAACCCTGAGTTTCCCGTCCGCAGAGCCATAGGGCACGTGGACAGAGACTTCAGAGCAGGCCAGGGAGCCCGGGGAAGCCGCCCCCAGAAGGGAACAGGCCTGCATGCTAGAATAGTGGCTCTCAAACTGGGGGTCACATTAGCACCACTGGGGGGGGTTGCTGAAACAGCTTGCCCAGCCCCTGCCCTACAGTCCCATTTTCAGAAGGTTGGGGGCGAGGCCTGCATGTCTGTGTTTCTCACAAGAACCGGGGTGGGGGGCGGTGCCCATGCTGGAGTATGGGGAACCACATTGAGAACCACTGAGCTTAGAACACACAGGGCTTTCTTGGCGCATGCCTGGCGCACTACACACCCTGGAGAAGTTATTGGTGTTGGTGACGTCACCGATTGGCCTCTCCAGTACTTGCCATCATCCCAGCCCTGGCGAGGGGGCTGGTGGAGAGGCCAGGCTGTGGGGACCCTCTGTTTTTCACTCACCGTGAGAGAAGGACAACCAAATACATGGGGTTCTGAGCTTCTAGGAACCATGTACCGACTGAACGTTGGCGGGACTCCTCCCGTCTTCATTACGTGTCTCATAACGAGCTCTAACCAAGAGCATGCGGCAGGCCATGCCGGCCCGGGTCTTAACTCTTCCTCATGAATGCCGGGTAGGCGGGCAGGGCATGAAGGGACGTGCCGTGGACCACGCACGGGCACCTCGGCCACAGGCCGGCACGGTGGGAAACCTGCCCACTCGCTAGCATCGGCATGTGGCGGTAGGCATTTGGGGACTTTCCGTAAGCGCAGGGAGAATACCGTGCATGCTGAGCTCTACACCAGGCACCCACAGGCACGGTCACCCTCTAGCTGTGGATGCCTGGGAGCCCCGGGGGGACTCTGTCCGGTCGCTGGATGGCAGCTTCTGGACACGCGTTCCCAACGTCCCACGATACATAAACACACAGCGAAATGCACAAGCACGGAACTGGGTCTTCTCAGGCGACAAAACCACTAGTGTCTGGGACACTGGGAAGAGGTCGTGAACCAGAAAAGAAACAAAGGAGAGAAGTAGAAGAACACACTGGTGAGTCCATCTGGGGACAATGAGATGCCACAGACATCAGGCAGACTGTTGAACCAAGCAGTGACCCTGAGGTGAGGACAGAGGCACATGGTCCTGGGAACACAGCGATGACAGATGATACTGTGAAAGAGCCTGGAGACTCCAGGGATGGAGCGCAACTTGGGACAGCACCTGGGGACACAGGCGCGTTCAGGAGGCCGGAGGAAGAGCCGGGAACAAGGCTGGCTACAAGCAGCGTCGTAGGGGCAGAGCCTATCACGGGTAGAGCTTCAAAAGGAGGCCGTGTGCCTTCATGTCACAGATATGTACAGAGGGCCCGCATGGCTGACACGGACACAATCCCGACCCTCAGAGCGTAACCCAACATCCAAAGGCAGGAGAATCAAATGCATTAGACAAACGGAGACCTGAGAATGGCTCACAGATCCAGTCAAGAAGCAGGCTCCTGATGGGACCAGAGAGAAAAAGGAATTCCCTTCTGGAAGCAGCTGTGCCCTGCAGGGACCGGTTCCCATCAAGAAAAGTGGGTGAGTGGGAAAGCTTCGGAGACTTCCAGAAACGAGTAATCCTGGTGGAGCACAGTTTTACCAGTCTGAGGCACTAGGGGGTTGAGATTTGCAAATTGCCTTAAAGCAAGAGAGCTATGAGTTAAACGAGTTAAACGAGTTAAACACGTAAAAACAAGGCCCACAAGTTCACCAGGGAAAGAAGCCCATTCCCAACTGGATGGTGGTAAGAAATGTCCCGCCACCTGCGACCCTTCATCATCCTCAACAGAGGAAACCATGCTCGGACGCTATAACAACAGTAAGAAAAACAATTTAAGTATGATTTTTCTCACCAGCAAACTTGGAGGAAAATAAAAAACTCAAAACTCATGTCAGCAAAAATAAGCGTTCACCTTCCAGTGTGATAAAATCGAATAGTAAATTGGTCCAGCGTCGTTTGGGAATCTCTGCGTTTCTTAAGTTTTCAGTAAATAGCATTTGGGGAGGTCGAGAGGGAAGAAGCAAAGGCCACCTGCATTCAGAAGGGACCAGAAGAGAGATGTATCTTCTCCTTAGCGATAAAAGAGACACCTGTCATCCAGGCTGAAGGAGTACATACTGGCAAGAAGAAAGTTACGGAGTTTCCAATTTAGCTGGCTTTAGGAGAGGGTTGTGGTCACTCCAGACGATTCTCACACAGAATCATTATTACAGATTATACCTAGAGCCTGCGCTTTCAGGGACATCAGAGAATAAACCAGCAGTCCGGTCCTGCGTCTAAGCCCTACTCAGAGGCGAGCGTTGGCCTTGCGAACTCATCTCTACCTGCTCCGGAACCAGTCCATGAGCCTCGGTGCCACAAGCCATGAACTCGGATGTGGTCACGCTGCCCAGGGCTGGGTCAGTCTGCACCTCTCAACCCTCACGCGGTTGCTGTGTCTTAAGGACGAGACCTACTGAATGTTCTAGTTCTCCCTCCAGGCACGGCGACTCAGGACAGCCAGTGTAAGCTCCGATGAAGGAGTGTTTCTCACAGGTGGACGCGCATCAGGATCCCTGGCAGGTCTGGGGTGTGCAGAGAACTCGCATTGCTAACAAGGTCCGAGGGGCTGTGGCTGCTGCTGGCCTGGAGAGCACACTCCGAGCAGCTCTGGCCCAGTGGCGACCACCTCCGCAGCGCCCTCTCCGTGAATCGGCCCCCGGGCGTGGAACGGGACTCTTCCTAACGGAGCAGACACTCCCGAATCCCAGGGGGTCAGAGCCCGTCTCTGCTTTTCCCACTACGTGAGCCTTCTCCTCCTGCCTCCTTGGAGAGATGGAACTCCTTGAGGCTGATCTCACTCTACACAGCAAGGGTCTGTCTTGCCGATTCCCAAACTGGGTCCCCATTGCTGGTCAGCCCTGCACGGAGCAACATGGCCATTTGGTCCGCCCCCCTGCCCAGGACCGCACAGGTTCGGACTTCTGTTCTCACCCCCACGGCTCCTGTTATTGCCCTTAGTGCTACGATTCCACCAACATTACTTCTGCCCCTCTCAGTGCCACCGTCGTCACCCCGG